ATGCAGAGGAGGTTGTCCGCAGGTGTGAAGGATGCCAGTTCTACGCTCGGCAAACCCATTTGCCGCATGAGCTTCGAACCATCCCCATCACCTGGCCATTCATGGTCTGGGGCCTCGACATGGTGGGGCCCCTAAAAAAGGGCCCAGGCGGCTTCACTCACCTACTCGTAGCAATCGACAAAGTTCACCAAGTGGATAGAGGCCAAGCCCATTACCAACATCCGCTCAGAGGAGGTAGTCAAATTCTTCCTCGACATCATCTACCGGTTCGGCGTTCCTAACTGTATCATCCCTGACCACGGGACTAACTTTACCGAAAAGAAGTTCCTAGACTTCAGCGATGGATATGGCATCAGGATCGACTGGACCTTGGTCAGACATCCACGAACTAACGGTCAGGTCGAACGTGCCAATGGCATGGTCCTCCAAGGACTTAAGTCACGCATCTTTGACCGACTCAACAAGTACGCCGGGCGATGGGTTGCAGAGGTCCCAGCGATCCTCTGGAGCCTAAGAATGACCCCAAACCGATCCACAGGGTTCACACCCTTCTTCCTGGCCTACGGAGCTGAGGCAGTGCTGCCCTCTGACCTCAACCACAGCGCCCCAAGAGTGAAGGCTTTCGACCATGACCGAGCCACGGAGGCTCAATGAGACGTAGTCGACCTTCTCGAAGAGGCCCACGAGACGACCATCATCCGCTCCGCTCGCTACCAACAAACCCTCCGTAGGTACCATGAAAGGAAGATCAGAGGGAGGATACTCGAAGTCGGCGATCTTGTACTCTAGAGGACCCAATCAATGAAGGAAAAACACAAGCTCTCTCCACCATGGGAAGGGCCCTATACGGTGACCGAAGTAATCCGACCGGGCACCTACCGACTAGAGGACAACAACGGCAACGTTCTCACCAACACTTGGAATATTGAACAGCTACGTCGTTTTTCCCCTAAATTTGGTCTAACTGCTTTTTAGTCAACACTTGCCCCTATAAAGCACCCCAGCCCGAACACTTTCAGCCTGGGTCGCTCGGGGGCTCCATGAGGAAAAACTGTTCACACGGGGACTCACCCATGAACTCAACTATTACATTTTCTACTGCTACTCCAAAATACTACTATGGCCGCTCGACGACATCGCCTGAACGCCAAAGGAGAAACCACGACACACGTCACCGGACATAACCACCTCCACTGGGGCCCCGCCCGGTTCCGCTCCCTCGACTTCGGCGAGCGCAATGGGTACCTCAAGGGACCCACGTGGTTCTGCTCCTTCAACTTCGGCGAGCGCAACGGGTACCTCAAGGGCATCGCACCCATAGATGCTCAGCAGAAGAGCATGGAGCTCCTAACCTTCTCATGCAGTCGAGCCAACTCCTAGTCAGGGACGCTGCTACCAAGGCATGGAACCCTCCACCGGCACGATCCTGAGCAACTTCCCCTCCGACAAGGCTCGCCCGGTGAAGATCCACCAGAGAAAGTCCACACACGGCTCCATCCTGAAGAAGACCTCGCAGATGAATCCAGCACCGCCCTGGGCAGCCTTCAGCTCAAAGCGCTCTGGATTCATGAAAGGATCTGTAAGTCTTCCCCCTCTCTCACCCCCTCTCTTGCTTAGGAACCGCCACGGCATACAGGCACTCTTGGAGAGAAAGAGGAAGGAGAGACAATAGTTGGAGAATAGGCAAAGGACTGCGATGGAGAGCCCTCTCCCTCCCCCTATTTAAGGAAGAAACATGGCAGCCGAAGAGGGGCAAAAGATCAGAGCAAAAAACTCTCCCCCTTCCCCCATTCAATGCAGATGGGAAATGATGGGACACACCCTGACCGATGGGTTGCACGCTGGCCGACGAAACGATGCCGGGTCAGACGAAACGCCGCCTGGTGAGACGAAACATGGCCTAGGTATGGCCCACCACTATCGCATGACTGGGCACGAAAACCGAAATGTCACCACACGCAGACAGCTCTCCGCATCCCCAGGCGGGACTTGGAAAAACCCAAAGCGGGATCTTCACCGGGAGAGACCATCGGGCTTCCTAAGTCGATCGAACGGCTCAGAAAAACACACCGAGAGATAGGTAGGAAGTGAAGGGACACCCCATGTAGGCCATGCCGACTCTGTCACGAACGACGAGCATGGGTTCCGGTCAGACGTTTCTGACTGAAGCTCTCCAAACCCCATCACTCAAGTCATTAAGGTAAACACTACCAAGCCCCTCTATTTCTTTATAATCATTTCATACATCCATATGCGCATTCATTCCATACGCCTGTGCCACCCGGACGATTCGGGCCCTGAACCACCCGAGGGCTCGGGAACTAAGCATCGCACGTGCAGCGAAATGCATCACAATGCTCCGTGTTGCGTCACGAAGCGGTGGTTGCCTCATTCAACATGAGCAACCAACAGAACCAGGGGAGAAAAACATAGATGAGCCCTGTGCAGACAGGGTCATCTCAACCTTCTCGTTCGATCCTGAACCTCTTACAAAGCCCATAGAATCTCAATTGAGGGGAGGCCGTTAGGCCACCCGGGTCGATCTCCGAAACAACTCAGGCATCTACCGGGTTGTAGGTAAAGGAGCAGTGGAATGTCACAAGAGGGCTATGCCGACCCCGTCACGAATGACGGACCTGGATTTTGCTCGATCATACCCGTTAGCGAACTCACCGAGCGCGTCACTCGAGCCCGAGCCATCGGGACAAGCGACAAAACTCAGCCCCTCCGGTTGTGAGGAACCGAGGACGGGGTAACGCACATAACTCACACCGACCCCTACTAAGGCCCAACAGGGCTCAGGGGCTCAAGACACAAAATGCCTGGGTCTGCGACCCCAAACTTGCCCCATCCGGCTATGCTCCGACTGTGCTCCAAAAACACCCGGGTCTGCGACCCCAAACCTGCCCCATCTGGCTATGCTCACCCGGGTCTACGACCCCAAACTCGCCCCATCCGGCTACGCTCTGACTGTGCTCCAAAACACCTGGGTCTGCGACCCAAACTCGCCCCATCCAGCTACGCTCTGACTGCGCTCCAAAACACCCAGGTCTGCGACCCTGAACTCGCCCCATCAAGATCTACGAGCTCCGGCTCGCCCGATCCCAAACTAACTAAACTAACTGCCTCAGTTGCACGGGCCACACCAAGGCCAGGATCCACGACTCCGACTCACCCGATCCCACGACGCGCATCGAGGCCAGGATCCACGAGCTCTGTCTCATCCGTTCCCTAAAAAGACTAACTACCTCGTCCAATCCCACGGCGCGCATCGACGCCAGGATCCGCGAGCTCCGTCTCACCCGATCCCTAAAAACAACTAAACCGCCTCGGCTGTGCAACGACGCCTTGGTTAAACAAAACTCCATCTCGACTGAAAAACACGCACACATGACCACTAACAAACAACCCCTAGACGGTTCTGCCCGAACCGCCCAGGGGCTCGGGGGCTACACCCGCGGGTGCGCTCGCGCGCACCCGCCGACAAAACAAAAACCTCCCCCGCTGGCAACACGGAAAACCCCCCAGACGGTTCTGCCTGAACCGCCCGGAGGCTCGGGGGCTACACCTGCGGGTGCGCTCGCGCGCACCCATCGTCAAGGCAAAAATCCCCTAGACGATTCTGCCCGAATCGCTCGGGGGCTCTGGGGCTCCTGTCGGGTTCATAAACCCGGGGTCCCTCGCGGACCGGTTTCCCAACAAAGGCTTGGCCCAAAGCAGACAGCAAGCAACTCATGGGCCGGCCCGAGTATTCGAACAACATGCCAGAAGGGTGGTCCAGTCACCGACCGGAAGGTCTAGCTGAGGAGGAACAACGCCCGCTTGTCGACTCCGACCCACCTCTCTGACCCGAGCGCTCACTTCGGTCTCCATCCGCCTCCAGACGGTGTCTCCGACCGAAAGGCCTGGCCAAAGCACTGTTTCTGACTATGACCCCACGTCTTTGACTGGGGTACACAAAAACCTGCTCACTGTTCTCCTTCGACTAAAGCAATCAGAGCCGACTAGGACCAACCGACCAGGGACGCCCGCTCGGAAGGGACCAGGGAACGAACGGAGAAAGCAAGGCAGGGCGCACAAGTCAAACCACAATACTAGGGACCATACCCTGTATGCCTGCAGAAATAGTACTCTACAGCCTCCCTAACACAAACAGTGTTGTAGGCGCTGACATTTTTTCCTATAGTATTATGGGCGCCATTAACTCCCATACGGTAAGGCACCACCAACATGCCTTTGGGCATCGACAGTGTTGTGGGCGCCGGGATTTACCGTACCAGGTGAACCTGGTGAAACCCCTCACATGCCTCTAGGCATCAACAGTATATGCAAGTATCGACGTCTACCATACCCGAAGAAGACAACACCACCTCCCACATGCATCTGACACTCAAACAGTAGCATCAACAGTGTTGTGGGCTCCTACCATTATCTCATACCCGTCGGTGTGTGTAACAAGGCTCAGCAGCATACGTACCCTCTCCCTCTCACTTGTAAAGCCATCCCCTTCATCTATAAAAGGGGATGCGCTCCCTCCAACACAGGCAGTTCCAAAAAAGTCGATCCAAGCTCTCTAAGCCATCCTAGATTCATTAGATCAACCAAGTTCACTAGCTCACAACCACAAAACCGTTAGGTTCGGACCTCAAGCACACGCATGAACACTTAGCTCATAGCAGAGCTCCTGTCGCTCTTGGCCCTTCCGACCGGAGTCCGACCGGACCTCTCATACACCCCATCTTTCTCCTTCTTGTTTGTAACCCCACTGCAAACTTCGAGCACCTAGGCTCAGGAATAAAGTCACCGACCGAATCAAACTGGATGTAGGGCACGTTGCCTAAACCAGTATAAACCCTGTGTCATTGAGTGCTAGGCCACCTCCGATCACAACGTACGACAAAACTATAAATATTTCTGTGTTGGTCACTTTCTGCACCGACAGGGTTCTTGTTGATCCTGCCAACAAGGACAAGGTGAAGTGCAAACTCTGTGACAAGGTGATGCAAGGAGGGATTTACTGGTTGAAGCAGCATGTGGCCCATGAAGGAAAGAATGTGACAAAATGCAAGGACAGAACACCGGAGGCTCTGGAGGCTAAAGAGAAGTGCAAGAAAACACTAAATGATGCAAAAAGAAAGAGGGAGGAGAAGACTATTCATGAGCTAGAACTTAGAGAGGAAGTGAATGTTTCTCGGGTTGGAGGTGGAGAGTCAGTGGAAGTCACTTGTATTGGAAGTTCTGAGCCTCACAAATTAGGACCCATTGACAAATGGACACGTGCTATTGATCCTAAAGCAACCAAATCTGAATCTTTGACACAACAGAAGCTGAACAAGGAACTTTGGAAAGAAAGAACACACAACGTGCATAAATATATTGCAAGATGGGTCTATACACATGGTAATTTCCTATTCTGTGTTTATATTTCAGAATGCATTAGATGCTATTATGGCTATACTGAACACTAATTAACCTTCTTTTTTGTAACATTGGCAACAATACCATTCAATGCATGTGACAATGATGAGTTCAAGCAAATGTGTGAAGCAATTGAACAATTTGGGGCTGGACTTGAACCTCCAATTCAGTATGATCTGCGAGATAGATTGCTGGAAGAAGAATATGCAAGAACCAAGAGTTTGCTGCAAGAACGTGAAGCCGAGAAGATGAAGAATGGGTGCTCTATTATGACTGATGCTTGGTCAGATAGGAAGAGGAGAAGCATAATGAACCTATGCACTAATTGTGCTGATGGAACCAATTTTATCAGCTCAAAAGAGATGTCAGATGTGTCACACACAAGTGAAGTCATCTTTGAACTAGTGGACAAAGCAATTGAAGACATTGGTCCAGATAATGTGGTGCAAGTAGTGACAGACAATGCCTCTAACAACATGGGAGCAAAGAAGCTATTGCTTCAGAAGAGACCATAGATATTTTGGACCTCTTGTGCAACTCACACAATCAACTTGATGCTCCAAGGAATTGGCAGCATGGCTCAGTTCAAGAAGGTGATTGACCAAGCAAAGGCATTCACCATATATGTCTATGGGCACACAAGAACATTGGAATGCATGAGATACTTCACAGAGGGGAAAGAGATAATAAGGCCAGGAGTGACTAGGTTTGCTTCAACCTTTCTCACTTTGAACAACATACAAGAGAAGAAGGACCAGCTAAGAAAGATGGTGGTTCATAGTAGGTGGGACTCATTGAAGGATGTGAAATCAAAGAAAGGAAAAGATGCCACAACAATTATATTGAATACAACCTTTTGGAAGGATGTCAAGCTAACATTAACTATTTTTGTGCCATTGGTCAAAGTTCTCCGTTTGGTTGATGGGGATATGAAGCCATCCATGGGTTTCATTTATGGAGAACTACTAAAGGCAAAGAGAGAGATCAAGGAGGCCTTTGGCAATAGAGTCCCGTTTCAAGGAGGTCATTGCTGTTATTGACAAGAAGATGAAAGGAAGACTTGATTCTCCATTCCACTTGACAGCTTATTTGCTGAATCTACACTATAGTTATGCTAACCCATCAATCTTTGATGAGCCCACAATAACAAAAGGATTTATTAGTTGTATGGAGACTTTTTATTATCATGAAGAGGATAAGCAAGATCAGGCTGCCAACATTGAACTAAAAAGGTTTCAGAATAGAGAAGGACCATTTAACAAGAAGCTTGCAAGGACTTTTGAAAACTTTGATTACAACCCAAGTAGAGGTACTTGTTATTACATGATTGTTTGTTGTTTTCATCTAACAATAAATTTGTTGTAACTACTAACTAATAGAGGTGTTTTCATTTATTTCAGCATCATGGTGGCGGTTGTATGGAACTAAAACACCAGCTTTACAGAAGATGGCTACAAGGATCCTATCTTTGACATCAAGCTCTTCTGGTTGTGAAAGAAATTGGAGTGGGTTTGAAGGGGTTAGTACCTATCTAGTGTCAACATTTCAGTAGCATTTCAATTAAATTGCAGACCTAAAAATGCTCTTATTTTTAATTTATAGATACACACTAAGAAGAGAAATAGGCTTACTACAACCCGCCTCAACAAATTGGTCTATTTTCAATTCAACTCCAAGCTGATTAATAAGAAAGAAAAGATCAAGTCAAAGAAGATCAGTGATGTTCTCTTGTCTAATGATACAACTAAAGCTCAAGGTTTTCTGTATGAGAATGGAGATGATTGTGCATTAGTTGTCTATAGCGATGAGAAAGAGGAGATGGAAGGTACAGGGATACCTTGGTCTATTATTGGAGACGCAGTGGGAGCAGAAGAACAACTTGAGCTGCATAGAAGTGCAAGAGTGAGACAGCTTTATGAAGGAGAAGAATTTGAGTCCGAAGAAGAAGAGTTTGATGAAGATGAGGATGATTATGTGGAACCCTATTGAAGAAGAAAGATGATATGGTAGTGGGGCCTTTTATCATGTCATGGTTTATCTTTTATGATGTATTCATATATGTCTTAAACATATGAACTGCTGCTGTGTGACTATGTTTTTCTTCTTTTGTGAGAACTATGTGCTCTCTGAACAAGACCTTTATTTATGAATTGTGTTGTGCAATTGTAATGCTGTCCTGCCCACTTGTTTGTGCTTTAAAATTTGTAATTACTAGCTGCTGATATGGTCTGTTCATGGATGGGAGATGGCTGAAATCATTCATATAAGTGTCAACTTGCTATTTTCTATTTTTCGATGAACTGCTTGCTGTCTATTCAGTATTTGCAAGCTGTCAATTCTTGCTGTTGTAACTAGGAACAAGCTGTCTATTGATTATTGAGCCTAAGCCAGTAAGCCACTAAAGTATGTCTACTGCCCTCTCTTTTATATAATGTATTCAGCTACTATATGCTTCTATTTAACTAATTTACTCAGCATATACATACATATATATATATATATATATATATATATGTTGTGCGCTAAATTGGCAAAATGCCTAGGCGCTAGGCTAGGGGTCAGCGCCTAGTGTCTAGCGCCTTCTTAAACTTTGCTTGAAATACGGTTATCAAAGTGCCACTAGATGTTCTAATTTATTGTATATGCATTTAGATTATAGTGAGTGCTAGCACCCTTGAAAATGTTTGTGAAAATATGCTAACACACGTGCACAAGGTGATACACTTATGGTTGGCACATTTAATCAAGGATGGAGAAGTTTGGAGGCGAGGGAGCTCTGTTAACTGTGGCTGGACACAGGACCGGATGTTGGACCTACGCGTCCGGTCATCAGGGAAGAGTGGCGCGGCCTCGGGTCTATGACCAAACCCTGGAGGAGGCACACGACCGGACGCGCATGGCATGTGTCCGGTCACTTGTGACGTACGCTGAGGTCAGTCGGATGCTTGGCGAGCAGAGCAGAAGAAGGACCGGACTCTAGCCTGAGTCCGGTCACCCGTGAGCGGATGGGTTCGATCGTGTTTTTGCGTCTCTAGACCCTTACTGGAAGTGACCGGACTCCACGTTGGTGGCGCGTCCGGTCATAATAACAGCGCGTCCGTTTGTTGGCTATGGTACTCGCAGGTGCACTGGACCTGACGTAGTCGCGGTGCGTCCAGTCAGCCTCGGTTGAGTCCGATCGTCACTTAAGCGAGCGCGTGAGTGAATCTAACCATTGGGATCGTGCGCCAGACATTTGAAGGCGGTGACATGTGGCGTGCATCACGCGACCGAGCACTGGAGGCGTGCGTCCGGTCACCCCCGACCGACGCGTCTGGTTGCTACGCAGTCAGCCCCCCTTTGAGCATAACAGCTCTATTTCGTTTGGGGCTCTATAAAAGGTGGTTGGCTGGCTTGGGCTCACTCTCTTAGCCATTTTCATTGACATAGCAATTTAGCGAGCTAAGCCACAGCCCTCCCACTCATCTTCATCATTGATTTATCATCTTTGTGAGATTAGAAGTGAATCCAAGTGTATTGCTTGAGTGATTACGTCTAGAGGCACTTGGTGATTGTGTTTCGCTGTGGATTTCGCTTGTTTCTCTTGGTGGCTGCCGCCACCTAGACGGCTTGGTGCATCGAGGATCGTCGAGCGGAGGAAGGTGATTGTCTCTGGCTCTGATTGTGGTGATTGTGAGGGATTTTTGACCTTTCCCCAGTGGAGTGCCAAAAGGTACTCTAGTGGATTGCTCGTGGCTTGTGTGATCCCCATCTTGTGTTGATCGTGCAGCACCCGATTGCGGGTTAGACGTGTGATGCCTATTAGCGCGTGAACCTCCAAATAGGTGAATCGCCACAACAGGGACTAGCTTGCCGGCAAGCAAGTGAACCTCAGTGAAAAATCATTGTGTCATCTTGTCCCCGAGGATTTATTTGGTATTCATTGATATATTATGATTGATCACTTGCCACGGTTGTATAACCCTTCTACCTCTCTTGTGCATTTACTTTTCTAGTGTAGCTAAGCTCTTTAGTGTAATTAGTTTTGAGAGCTAGTTTGTGTCTTGTCTGGTGGTTAGTGAGGCTCTTTAGTTAGTCTTTAAGAGCTCACTAACTTAGTGGCAGTGACTTAGCATTTTGTGTGACATAGATATCATAGATAATTAGAATGGTGAATAGGAGGCTTGCATTTTGAGTAGGCGCGCAACACTCGCTTCGCTTCATAATTGTTTAACCACTTAGCTTAAGTGTTGTTGTAAAAAAAATTATAGGCTATTCATCTCCCTCTAGCTATTAGGACCTTTTAGCCTATCTGCTCCGGACATCCGGACGCTAGTAAGTCCCATATCGGATATATCAAGATCATGGTCTGGCCTACCCGGACCATCAAGTTTGCACCATGGAAGCTGATATGAAATAGTTGGGCTCCCTGAGATGCAAATTGTTTATCCGGTTAGCTATCAACAGTAGTGTTAGATAGTTGATCGTCTTGCTGGATTCCCATCAGTTGCCTGTCCTCTTTGTGATCTGGAGAAGGAAACGATTCAGCATATCCTCATCTCTTGTATTTTTGACTGACACATGGTGCCTAATTTTTTCAGAAGCTAAACCTACCAGACTTAGTGCCTTCAAGAACTGCAAACCGGTTGTCAAAGTTGGTGGTAAAATACCACCTGAAGTATTCCCAAGGAACTGCACAAAGGTCTAAGCTCCTTAATCATTCTAACAACCTGGGAATTGTGGAAACACCTTAAGAGCAAGGTTAATAATGCAACCTACAGCTATTTGTACATACATAAAGTTATCTCATTAGAACATACTTTTCTCTTTCATAAAGTTTTTTGGTTCTTGTGCATAAGCTGACCGTAAACTTACAACATGCTTCTCTTCTCTCTTCTCTCTTTCCTCCACCTTAGTATTTTGTCCACCTGCAACCCTCCATTATACTTGCTCTAATGCCTGTGTATTGGAAGAGATAGGCCAAATGTCCAGTGCCTCCTCCAAACATTGGTCAATGACGGTAGCCTATGGTGTGTGGCAGGGCCTTCAACCGAGCAAGCCTAATAATACAGCCAGCTGCTGGTTGTAAGGATCTTTACAGCCCATCTCTCGGTCCACCTATATAGTAGTTAATTTTTCACTATTAATATATGACTCATTTGTCTCTTTGTTCTACTGTAAAAAGTTTATTAATTCTTGTGTCTAAGAAGGGTGTAAGCATACAGCCCGCTTCTCCACCCTTTCCTCTCCTCTTATCTCCTCTCTCCTCCACCTTAACATTCAGTCTGCTTATAGCATGTTATTATACTTGCTCTTAGCGAACTTTAGCTCTAGACTGTTTAGACTCTAGAGTGGCTAGAGGTCATTTTTTTTCCTTCATAGTGGCGCCTTGACTGGCTAGAGGTCATGTTTTTTCTTCACCGTGGAGCGCTCTAGCTGTTTTGCTAGTGTACGTTGGGAGGGGGCTTCTTCAGTCTCTCCTTTTATTATTTCCTCCTTTAAATGAAATGACACAACTCCTTCATTGTTCAAGAAAAAATAAATCTACACGCACACCTCATGTAATTTTTGTTTGTTTGGAGGACGTTTCTGTGTCAATATATGGGATACTGCAAGTAATAATACTGCAGGATTACATTGCATTTTATTACATTCATTCAAAACTCGGAGGGATCTCCTCTCTACTGTACAGTATGGCCTTGTTTGGGGCAAAATCACAATCAATGGAGCACAGAAATACAACTCAGCTCATATAGACATATCTGGCAAAGAACCCATAAGGATCACAGGACTGCTATTTCTCGGCCTCCAAAGCTTGTCCGGCCTTGCTTTGGAGAGAATATCAGAGAAAAACCCAGAAGATGAAGAGAAAGGTGGAGGCTGAATAGACTCCGTTGATGGCATGCCTGTGCCATCATGTACAGCTTGCTCAAGTGCCGCAATCTTCCTGCCATTAGAAGCCTTACCACAAGGGCAAACACTGATCTTTCTAAAGCATTGCTTGTGGAAGATTGACCCACACAAACTGCACTTTGTAGCTTCATCCTCCTACAACAAACCGTAACAGATTTTCTCAGCACTGAGTATATATTATATTAAGCTGAAAGGAATTAGAAAGCAAAGACTTGGCAGGGCACCTGAAATGGGAATATAAGGGACAGTGGGTCATCACAAGCTTGTCGAGCAGCACAAGGTACACCGCTGTCGTAGCACACAAGGCATTGCTCAGTGATGTGCTCAAGTATCCTGTTTGATATGGTCTGCACCTTAACTGGAAGTGCTGTTTGAAGCAAACAGAATTTGTGTCAGTGGTGCAATAAACTCACCAAGAATGTGATTTTGACTATCATCTTAAGGTTTTATAATTTTGGTTCCAATCTTTTAGATCATCAAGCATTAATCAATCTTGAACAGCAATCAGAAGGGCAGCATAAGCAACAATTATACCTAAAAACTGTTTTGGAAATAATTTGCTGAATTAGCTCAAAAGGATGAAGAAACACAATTCTTCAATTGTGGTTTGTGATGTACATAAGTGGAAATATCAGTATAGTACAGAGTTCTGTTGTGCTGAATAATGGAGCAGCATGTATAGATGCAGTTACCATATAAACCTCTTTTATTGACAAATACTTGTCAGGAGTTAACATTAACAACAAGTTGCACAGAAGTCTACACCCAGATTGGATTGCGCACTTCAGAAATATCTTGTTAAAACTGAATGGTACCTGCAAAAGCTCCTTTTGAGAGATCAACAAGGTCACGAAGCGCAAAGAAGTCATTCCCATCAAGAAGGTATCTTCGAACTCCTAGTCCTTTAAGTATGGAATTCCGGAAAGGACATTGGACACAAGGAAGCATAGCTGCTATTTTCTTACGGACACTCATGATGTTAAGCAGAGCTGGTACTTTCGAGAATAGGAAAGGATTGACTGCACTTACACAGAGCATAGGCTGAAAATGCAAATCATCATTTGCTTCAGGTCCGAAAAAGTATGAAAGTAGATTTA